GCCAGGAGCCCCTAGTAGCGTCCTTGCTCCTAGTAGTAAGGCCAGGAACAGAGAACCTCCGAGGTCACTTCCTGAAGAAAATAGATGAGGTCAAATGTCAACAGCCACGGACATGATTGGGCCCTATACAGATCATGTTGGCACACTATGCTTTAGCCCAAGACACTGAACTGAATATGAGGCTCAGTGGCTTCAAAATAAACGACTTCCCTTCATTGCCGAATCCAGCAAATGTCACGCAATCTCCCTTGCCATGCAAGCCCGACAAGAGCGCCTTCTTGATGTCTTTGCACAGTGCAGGCTCGTCCAATTGATTGTTGAAGACCACTTCTCTCGCGGCTCGCGCCCACGCCCCGTCGCAAACGCAGGGTGTCTCAAGAGCTGCCGTGAATCGCTTCCACAAAGATAGAGAGCCGACTTGTATAATTTCATCACATCGCTCAAGCTGGTAGCAAAGATCCACTTTCTCTGCCACCGTGGCACTGTTTCTGAACAAGTAGTTCAAAAGCGGTGTGTTTCCACGCTGCCGCGCATAGCGGAAGAGCTTCGGCATCAACAACGGATCGGAGCCTTGAAGGCCCAACTCCTGCACAACAGGCCACAACTGGATGTCCTCGGAAGTGCATGGGGTTGAGTTGAGTCATATGAGACCGGAAACCGATGCACCATTCGTGTGTGGAGATATGTTTTTTTGGGAACATGTTTTCGCCTAACCTTGGTTTTGGATACCCCGCTGCAGAAGATTTCCCCGAACAGGACACCGCACAAACACAAAAGGGCAACCTGTAAACAAATGAAGTCACCGTGAAGCGTTTGGCTCCCTTCTTGCCAGCCGCAACGCGTTGTAAAAAGGCATCCTCCGCATCCAGGCGCACGCCTGCTGCATCCAGGACGCCGTTGATAGCGTCAATCAATGGAGCATGTTTGCCTTGATGGCACCACAACAGCGGCGAGCTGTCCAAGGTCTCTAAGGGCTTCCGTTTGGTTGGCAGGTAGCAGTACCGCAACATGTAGCTATATTGTTTCCTCCGATGGTCTGCCGGGTCCTCCACAACTACTTGAGAGAAGCTGGGGGCCAAACCTCGCAGCCTCAAAGCTTTTGCCCATGGTACCCAACGTATCCGCTGGGAAACACACGCACAAATGTGGAAGTGTATCTTCTCAGCATCAGCATGCTTTTCACGGAAGACTGCAACATGAGAGAGGTAGGCGCTCGACTCATACCCGCCTTCCTTGAAGCTGGCTAGCATGATGTCCAACACCTCGTCTCGACTGGGTGCGCCAGAAAGCGGTAAACCACTGATGGTGATGAAGTAGCTCTTCTGCTTTGTCTGACTATCAATCTCGGCAGGTGCGACGAGAGTGCCCTCAACAGCCTTCGAACCTTTCTTCACTGCATCGACGAGCCTGGCGGCCAGCATTTTCGGGATGAGCTCCATGCTTGCTGAGATGAAATCATCTCGCCTGTCTTCGACCTCCTCCAAGCTGACCTTTCCATGTGACCTTCCGACAACTTCCTTCAAAAGAGTGGAGACGGTCATGGTGTGCAGCTCCTCATCCGTTTTGGTCTTCAACAAAGCCGAGACAATGCGATCAATGACCTTGTGATGCAAAAAGCGGAAACGGTCTGGTGGTCCGGACGCGCCGTCTGCGTCCTCCTCCTCTATGTTCGTGTTGTCTGCTGCGTCATCAGCCAACACAACTGCAGATGGTGCATGTTCTACGATCGCCTCGAGTGCGACCGGCTGCTTGCCTACGATTCTGCGCCGCTTCATCTTGAATTAAAAAAACTGAGGAGACCATGGTCGATGACTGCTCAGGTTGGTGGTTAACTACACAAAAAAGGCTGATGATATCGAGGGCCCTGTCTGACACAGCTGCTATCTACCTTCTATATAAATATATTATATGCATGTCTCATACTAGCATGCCAATGACAGGGTCCTCCAATCAAAACAAAGAGCGTCCACTGCAGAATGGAAGAGGCCTTTGCTGAACCTGCCAGTCGAGCCGATCCGCAGCCACGTTTCACACATAAGCGCGATGTCGCCGAGCAGCGCCGCCGAACAGTGCCGCCGAGCAGTGACCGCACCTGCGGCATGAGGTGTCTGAGCGATGGCCTCCAACCTACGATTGCCTGCAACCTAGAAACGATGGCCTCCGACCTAGTATAGCGCTGGCCCCTAGAAGCGACGGCGTCCAACCTAGAAATGTTGGCCTCTAATCTAACAGCGATGGCCGCCAGCCTAGAAACGATGGTCTCCAACCTACTAGCGATGGCCTCCAACCTAGTTCTTCGAAACAGCTTCCACAGCCGAGCGGCGCCGCAGCCACGTGTTCACACATCAGAGCATGTAGCCAAGCAGCGCCGCCGAGCTGCGACAGCGCCTGAGGCAAGAAGCATCTACGATTATTATTCTTCCTAGGGAAACCGAGGGTGTGAGCGGGAAAGGGTGTGCCAAGCTTGCTTTGATCACTTCCGTAAGTAGTACATCTAAACACCTTCCACAAATGTCTGCGAAGGTTACCCAGACTTTGCAAGAAATGTGCTGTTAAAAAAACAAGCCCAGGAATGGCACACGAAGAGCCCATGCTTTCGCAAATGGCCCGCGCCGGCCAGACGATGCCCTCCAACCTACTAGCGATGGCCTCAACCCTAGAAACGATCGCCTCCAACCTACTAGCGATGGCCTCCAATCTAGAAACGATGGCCTCCAACCTACTAGCGATGGCCTCCAACCTGGTTCTGCGAAACTGTGTCCACAGCCGAGCGGCGCCATAGCCACGTGTTGTTCACACATCAGCGCATGTAGCCAAGCAGCGCCGCCGAACAGCGCCGCCGAACAGCGCCGCCGAGCTGCGACAGCGCCTGAGGCATGAAGCATCTATGATGCTAATTTAATACGGAGGGAAACCGAGGGTGTGAGTGGGAAAGGGTGTGCCAAGATTGCTTTGATCACTTCCGAAAGTAGTACATGTAATCTAAACACCTTCCACAAATTTCTGCGAAGGTTGCCCAGACTTTGCAAGACGTGTGTTATTAAAAAAACAATCCCCGGAATGGCGCACGAATAGCCCACGCTTCCGCAAATGGCCCGCGCCGGCCATACGATGCCCTCCAACCTACTAGCGATGGCCTCAAACCTAGAAAACGATGGCCTCCAACCTACTAGCGATGGGCTCCAACCTAGAAACGATGGCCTCCAAGCTACGAGCGATAGCCGCCAACCTGGTTCTGCGAAACTGCGTCCACAGCCGAGCGGCGCCGCAGCCACGTGTTCACACATCAGCGCATGTAGCCGAGCAGCGCCGCCGAACAGCGCCGCCGAGCTGCGTGAGCGCCTGAGGCATGAAGCATCTATGATGCTTCTAAGGAGGGAAACCGAGGGTGTGAGCGGGAAAGGGTGTGCCAAGATTGCTTTGATCACTTCCGAAAGTAATGCATCTAAACACCTTGCACAAATTTCTGCGAAGGTTACCCAGACTTTGCAAGAAATGTGTTGTTATAGAAAACAAGCCCAGGAATGGCACACGAATAACCCAGACTTCCGCAAACGGCCCGCGCCGGCCATACGATGCCCTCCAACCTAGTAGCGATGGTCTCAGACCTAGAAACGATGGCCTCCAACCTACTAGCGATGGCCTCCGACCTAGAAACGATGGCCTCCAACCTACTAGCGATGGCCTCCAACCTAGTTTTTTGCGAAACTGTGTCCACAGCCGAGCGGCGCCATAGCCACGTGTTGTTCACACATCAGCGCGATGTAGCCGAGCAGCGCCGCCGCATAGTGCCGCCGAGCTGCGACAGCGCCTGAGGCATGAGTTTCTACGATGCTGAAAAGGATGGAAACCGCAGGGTGCGAGCAGGATAGGGTGCGCCAAGATTGCTTTCAGGAAATTAGTGCATCTAAACACCTTCCACAAATTTCTGCGAAGGTTGCCAGGGCTTTGCTACAAGTGTCTTCCTAAAACACCGCAAATGGCCTGCGCCGACCACGGCTGAACCTTTTCTTACCCCTCCATGTTCTTCGGCGCCAAATCGCCTTAACAGCCGAGCGGCCCCGCCGCCACGAGTTGACACAGCCGCCATGTGTTTTGCAGCGCCACAGCGCCCAACGGACGACATAGCGCGTCCTCTCATGGTGGGGGACATGTGTCTCAATGTCCAAAAAAGGTGAGGGTGTAGGCTAATTCCGAATGGTAGGAAGCAGAAGTCGCCAAAATAGGCCTAACCCTTCCAAACACAAATCACAATGTGAGAGATGAAATAGGCCCAAGCATAGGACCAAGCATTGGGGAGCAATTCCCATTGGTGGGGAAGAAATAAGCCCAGGAAGTCTCAGAATTTTAAAGAGAAAAGTTAAAAGATCACTTATTTCAGAGAATCTTTGGGCCTATTTCATCACTGACATTGTGATTTGCCCTCGGAAGGCTTGGGCCTATTTGGCCACTGCTTGGGCCCTTTTTCATTCCTGCCATTGTGATTTGCAGTCGGAAGGCATGGGCCTATTTTTCAAAGTCTTGCGCCGATGTCATCCCTGCCATTGTGATTAGCACCCGGAAGGCTTCCAAACGCTGCGGCGAAAAGGCGTTGCTGCGACAGAGCACCAATTTCGAAGCCACGAAAACCATGGATTTCAAGCTTCCAAAGCATGTCCCCTCGCAGTGCCAGCATGGTTGAAAGGAGCACGCATTCATACGGTGGTCTTTTTGACTCCAGTGACACCGCCAGCTCAGTGAAAGCAAGCGTGCGTGTACAATGCACGGTTCATTGCTTCTTTTAGAAGCGAAGTGACACATGCGTCCACACCCGGGCTTCGCCCGGGACTAAGATCGCAGAGACAATGGGACGAGCACGCTGAGGTAGCGTCCAATCCAAAGCGCTGCACCCCTGCATGGATTCAAGGCGCAGTCACTCGGAAGCACGTTGGGCCATTAGCCAAGCAAGGTCCGCCATCGTCAGGCCTTGCGCCTTCTTCATCAGCCGGCTACGCTTCTTGACCTACGGGAAAGCTTTTCGCCGCTCAGGGTGTGTGAGCAACCTTTGGCCAAGGAAGTGGAAAGTGGAAAACAGTCCTAGGTTTAACGGGGCTTGATACCCAAGGCCTCATTGCGAATCTCCTTCGTTGCGTGCTTCAGCTGTTGCTTCAGGACATTGCGAGCCGCACGCAGGCCTGGGAGAGCATTCTGTGCAGCAACACGCCCACCAGCGTCGCCCGTAGGAGCGGCGTCGCTGGCCGCACTGCCGGCAGCACTTGAGTGAGCATCTGCTTCGGACATGGTTGAGCGACAGCAAGCGGAACTTGAGCTACAAATCAGCGATGTCAGGCGTCCTTCTTCCAAGTGTGACGCAGCGGTGAAAGACCACTGCGCTATACAACTCCAACATCACAAGGGCCGGATTGCGCAGCAAACAAACCATAAATGCGGCATGCGGCTCGAGCCGTGGTCTACAAAGTCTTCCTTTTTGACACGAGTGAAAGCCAGGCGCTCAACCAAACAGGCTCACATAAGCATAATCCATGCGGCGCCGTTTTGGGAAAATAGCACTCACTTGCTCCCGTGTCGGTTTCACCGGTAACGGGAAATTTGCAGCCTGCATGAATTCTTGTAGTCTGGGGTGCAAATCATTGATGTTTCTGCTGGCGCCGATGCCACGGAAGGCTTTGCCCCACGCACGGCTTGAAAAGAAAACACGAGGCGCCTGACCCAAGTGGTACAGCCAGGCTATCTCTTGCGCCTGCCCATCTGCTTCTGCTTGTCTGAGCTCTTGATATTTGGACCGCAAATATTACTTAAAGGGCCCGAAGGCGTAGCAATCAAGCGGTTGGAGCAGGCTGGTGCAACAGCTTGGCACGAAGAGCACTTGGAAGCCACATTGTTTGGCTGCACGCAGCACTCCCTTTGGGAGATGCTGGCATGCGCAATCCAATATCAAAATCGGCTTGTACTCCGGCACATAAGGTTGCACTTCTTTCCTCAAAGCTTTGACCATGAAAACCAAGGACTCGGCAGTGACCCACGCCGTCTTGCGACGCATCACGTGGAGCTTCGTGGCGGGTAAGGCGTGAAAAGCCCGAAAGACTGACTGCCGCATTCTGCTGCCATTGGCTATGAGGAAGTGCGGCAGCTTCGCCTGGACCTCTGTGCTGTTGCAAATGGTGGCACAATATGAATATGCTGCCCGCTGCACCTCTTTGCGCACTGTACAATGTGGATTGATCTTCCAATGCTTTCTAGAAACGATGCACCCAGTCGGACACTGTGGCGCATATGCTACGGACGTCTCATCAAAGTTCAACCAGAGCAGCTTCCGATCTTATGTATTTTTCGGCAATGTACGACAAGCTTTGCCAGAAGGTCCAAACCTGGGGCCCAAGATTGCGTGAGGTGCATGGTTTCACACTCAATGTGATTTTTACGCCGACGTACCGGTGCAAAAAAAGAGTTCGCTTTCCGGCCTTACTTTTAGCACCCACACAGTAAAGGGGCCTGTTTTGAGGGCCGCCAGATGGCCTCGTTTTTCACAACCCAAAAATTGCCCATCCCTGGCCTTTCGACGTAGATCGGCAGGATCGACGGGGTCTCTAACACGGAGACGTCCGCGGCGGACAGACCATCGCTTCCGCCAGCGCATGACCCACTTGTGGATACCTCGCCTTGTCAGCGGCTCACCTGGAGCTGCGAGACCCTGCCTCAATCGAAATTGCTCATAGACTTGCAAGGCAGCTGGAGCTGCACCGTGCAGAAGATTCTGTGTCTTCAGCCATGCGAA